TTATTATCATAATTTATATATTTTGGTAATAATGAAAATTGGCAAAATAAATAAGGGATTGTAATCTGGATTTCACCAATAATAGGTCAATTAAGCCCGTACAAATAGAATCGTCGATTTGACTTTATAAAAATTGTTTCAAATAATAGAGAATTGGAAATGGTTTTATGGCCTTTAAACTCGTTAGGTAAATTGATGTACAATTTGCTATAAATATTTCTAAATGGTTATTTTATATTTTAGTTTGCTCGTAAATAAAATGCTGAAATAATAATCACTGAAATTCAGTAGTGCCGAAAAAAGGAATGGGTAAAGCTCTGCGTTTGTTCTGCACCACTGTGGCGGTGAAGCACTGGCATTCAGTGACTTTAAAAGTTTTTTTTTAAGTAGAGATAAAGAGTGTTTGTAATGTACGATTAGCTATTAAATGTATATTCATTTTTTACTATATAATGTCATTACTTTTGGTGACTTTCATGTATCGGGCTATCACTACAATACTTGGACCTGACAAAAAACCATGCATGGTTCTTTATGCATATAGTGAATTTAGCATCTTTTAAAATTACATTGGCATTCATAATTTGTTACCAATATGAATAAATGACTTTTGATACGACTCCTATTACAAATCGAGTCTGAATATTATATTTCACGCCGAAGTGAAGGATTCCCCAGACACGACGTAACGTCTTAAAAAATTATGCAGAAACGTGATTCGAAATTGGAAGTTATGCATATTCCCGCGCCCGCTATATCGAGCCATCACGAGCACGTCTCGTCTAAACTCAAATATGATATCAGTTTAAATTGTGGGAGCACTGTGAAATTTTATGCATTACCCCGCTCCCGTCTGTCGCAGGCACTAGGCGGCCGGGCTCAGGCCGCGACCTGTCAAAACGTACTCTGCATTCGCCGCACGGAACCCACAAACGGTTTTGACAGCTACATGCCATTATAGCGAGCGTATTGAGTTTGAGGTTATATTCAGCAGTGTCATCCGGTGCAGATGAGATGCTCCAAATATTTGCTGCTTTGGAAACGGACATTTGTCAAGAGACCGTAGCTAGTATGGTCTCTGACATTGGTCGATGAATTAAAACCCCTCTTCCTTTACGCAGAACACTTCTTCGTCTGCTAATAGCTTATGCAAATGCAAACACGGTATCTCCGTGAAATAAGAATTAACAGTAAAGATTTGATCACTGAGTTGAACAAGAACAACATAGTAAGTAGTAGACAGTAGTGTTTAACTGATTTCGTCTATTAGACATTCGGTATACAATTACTAAATTTCATGTACTTCCTTTTTAAAACTAACAGCCCGCTCCGGCTTTCCACGGATATTAAATATTCAAACATCATAAACTTATACTCTTCTTTTAATTTTGCAAGGATTTATAAGTCACACAATATATATGTACTACAAAATCATCACATTATTTTGTTGTATAGTCTAACAGTTTCTGCAGCGCATGCGACGAAAAACGTTCCATAGATTTTTTTACACCGTGGGTTACGTTAAGAAAGTTTTATTATGAGTCCCTTTTAAAAATCTATTACCTTGTTTTAAGGTAAAAGATTTTTAAATCCGCATAGCTTTTGAGTTTAATAATTACAAATATACACACAAAATTAGAAAAGACTTGCCTCTTTATTTTTATATTATTATATTTATTTATTTTTATATATTTAAATATTAGTGTAGACGAGTCCCTTAACATAAGAAATACCCCAATTTATATAATATATTTAATCCTCAACCTTCAATAAGAGCTGTTAAGATCAGAGCTTGGTCATGACAGAACATGTCCAAGTGTATATCATTCAGGTATTCGCCGCACGAAGCACAGAAGCTCCTGACAGCAGTATGCCATTACGGCTTTGTATTGAGTTAGTATCATTCACTTGTCTGAACAGCACGGTATTAGGACATCAGATGTCTTGTTCCATCTTGAAATATGATTTGACTCTGAGTTATGTACAGCGATTATTTGGAACGAAAGAGTAATATGTGAATTTGATTCTTTAACTAAAAATATTATGAAATATATATTGCATTTAGATAAAACACTTTAACGGTTTAAAACGCGATATTTATTAGTTAAACATATTTGAAAATTATTTTAACTACAGGGAGACCCCATGTGTTCATGGCTGCTGAAAATAATCCGAAACATTGGGTCGTTGTTAAAATATTTTTCAAATAAGTTTAATATATAATTTAAAACAAGTAATCGAAAAAAATAGACTCGGGCAGAACCGGCATCGTCAGCGTTCTTCAGTGCAATAACAGCGGAACGCTGAGATACCGGTTCAAATGTTAAAAATATTAAAGTTTTCAAAAGTTTAATATATATCGCGTTTTAAACCGTTAAACTATTTTTTTTAAATGTGTACTATAAACTACACACTGAATATTCAATGAATTTATAAGAATTATACTGGTTTTATTGAATCGATAAAAGGATACGCATTAAGTTTACTAAGGACAGACATAACTTAAAATATGCAACTACAATAGAAACTATTTCTTGATTTATACGCCTAAAGAAGCGTTTATTTTGTAAAGCTAATAAATGTATTTATGAGAAGAAATAACTTAAATAATAAATATCTAACGAAGAAACTTAATGGATAGTATTTTTGCTAAAAGGAGAAACTGTATTGTTCATACATTATTCCGCTGAATATTGCAGGTCGGAAAGAAAATTAAAAATTCCGGAAGAGTTCATTACGCTTCTGTTTATGTTTTCTCCTGGAGAAATGAACAATATCTTTTTATATCTTAAATTTTAAGACCAAGGTTTTAATCAACGCTTTAGTTTGAAAACTTTAACATTTTACACATGATGGCCATATGTATATAATTTAAAAATCGAGAATAAATTTAATTATATTGCGCGAGTGGTGATCAATATGTTGAAAGAATTCAACGATGACGTCTTACTAGTAGTTCTACAAGGAACGCTGATGATGCCGGTTCAAGGCGTGCCCGACTTTTTTCTATTTATTTTCGATTTTTAATTTATATGGTCATATGGACTTGAGATATAGAGCGATGGAAATTCAAATCGCTTTGAAACCTGCGTTTACTTTGGCTTTGCGGATAAGGTGCTACAAGCGTTCTAACTCAATTCTAATCGACGGTGAACAAAGGTGGTCAAAGCCGACTGTCTAATAGCGGTGAAGATGGCTAAAACAATTTTGGTTCCTTTGTAGATAATTCGTGTCGAATACTATTAACATAATATTACAAGTGCATTCTCTGGTGACATTATTCGTGAAATAATATGTCGGGCTCATTGGTCTTAATCAACGTAGTCGTCGGGTCGATTCCCACTGGATCTAACACGAGTATAATCTTTTCGAAACGTATTCCTCTCGAAATCAGGATATTAAAGGGTGGCAACCACTGTCCAGATGAAAAAGCCGTGCAGTTTTAATCCCGTTACTGTTTCAATCTGTGGATTTCCAAAGCCAAAGATAGATCGACAACACATCTTGTTGACATGTTATATTTTTGTGGTATTTCACCTACCATCATGTAAACCCCCACTTGTCTGTCTACCTCAATCATAGAAAAAAACAATTATATTAAAGCAATGCTGTGGCTGTTTTTTAAGGTCGAGACTTCGTTTTCTGTTTGACAATTAAACATGTGGGCAGCGTATTAGATTAAGGCAGGCATTGTCAACTATTTAAAGGCCGGTAATTTAAATGAAACGCATAATTGCAATTAAATGAGGGAGTAACGAGTGTCCACTCTTTACAATAAAACGCTTTCAGTCATATGAATACACCGGTCCTGAAAAAGGCCCCAATATAAACAGTGATTCAAAGCGAAGGTTACGTCGTTATTTGACTCTGAGTGGTGCGCACGAGTGCTACAATAGCAAGAGGTGATTAGTGAGCTGTTCAACCACTCCAACTTTGTAGAGCTACTTTCCTTTTGTCCTAGCCTTGGTGGAATTTTAAATGAAAGATAATGATACATACAAAGCAGCTCAAACAGCTTGCGCTCGTGCATAAGAAAGTATGGCGCAACAGCCTGATTGTAGTATATCAACATACAAATATTTTCTACTGACTTAAAATGCATGTGCTTGATGACCGCCTGGTGAAGCGTGTTGTCTAGGTTTGAATCCTGGGGAAACAATAGATCGCTTCGATCGGGCAGGGCACTGTACTGATCCACTACTTGCCTATAAATGAAATAGATAGATAGAAAAGTAACGATACAAATGTAGCGTGGAGATAAAATGTCGGTAACTAAAGTATTCGTTACTTTTGTAGTTCTCGTTCCAAACATAATATCTTGAAGAGCATGTTTCTGTAGCGAGCAAAGTGGTCCACTAAATTACAAGGCGTGTTTTGGTCAGAGATGACGCAGGTGGAGCGCTGTGTTACTCTAGTGCTCGGGTGCACAGCCGTTGATGAATATTTATGGTGGAGCATTGAGAGTACTTTTATACGGGAGCTGAAATACAAGCCACAGTTGCGCTGGTTCTAAGCGATACTGATTTGTAAGTCAACTTGGGCTATGAAGGTTTTGGTCAAAGAGATATATCTCTCTAAAACTCAACACATTTCTTTACACCCAGTGAATATTGTTGTAATATAATTTTGGCCTAATTTATTGGCACGACTGACGCGAAATGTATTAATCAACTTATTTACAATTTATTTTACAATTATAAATAAGTTGTATATATTATTTACAATTAATTACGACCCGACATTTCACGTCATGTCGATGAGATTAGATGGCGCTAGTAGTTGTTTTACTTTGACATTACGGTCACCCTCCATGTTTAGTCCGCCTATGACCACGGCTACTGTTAGAGCATCCGAAACATCGGATCATAGTTAAATTAATTTATAAATTAGTTTACTAATACATTTCGTGTTTTAGATCATTAAGTGATTTATTTAAAATATGTACTACTAGCCTGAGATTAGATACTATTTGATGATTAAACATAACTATTTTGTTGCAGAAAACGGATGCTGGCACCTTTTTTGCATATACCACAGGGATAATTTCATAAACGTAAGTAAAACAACACTATTTTACATTCTTTAACACACAAAGTACTCTTTACAATTTTCTCCAAGAAACGCCTTAGATATCACAAACACACGGTAGCAAATTACAAGCTTGGCAACACCTTAGATAAAATCCTAGCGTCTAAAAGCTAAGCATATGGGCTCTTTAGCAGACTCCGGTGGAAAATAGCGATGGGTGTTATAGGGGCGACAGAGGGGGGAGAGATGCCTTTGAGAATACCGAAACAAACACACTAGTTAAGAATGCTTTTCAGCAGCTTCGGCCATTGTCAGTAATAGCGATATCTTTGTGGAGCGTCTTAGTTCAAAATGTTGGAAGACAATTTATCACTCCTTCAGAGATGTTGACAAATGATTCTTTGTATCTATCTTATTACTTTGCTTCTTTGCAGCTCTATTAATTTCTTTTTTTTTTCAAATGATTTATAGTACGGTATTAAAAAAATCGGACTCTATCAAAGAGATAAAATTTTGCTCAACAAATTCAAATCAATTTAAGATACAATAGAAACAATAAAACAAACACATGGGACTTTCCTTCTGATGCTAAACAATGGATGATCATCACAATTTTTATGGTGGATGTTATTTTTCTTTAAATATTACGACCACCATGTTTATCGACGTAACTATATACCTATAGTGTACCCGCGTGTTTAATAAGAATCGTCCCTTTAATTTAAGTTATTTATTAATCATTTGAGTATTTTAAACGCTACAATGTAATAGAGTGTCAAAATTAATGCCCTTCACTTTGGCTTCAATGCTATCTATCGATTAATAAAACAGTTTAGCATGTCTACTTAATTAAAAGTGACATAACTTTCCTTGAATAGATTCAAGTTACAATTAAACTTTATTGGACAGTTTCCTTGTTCGCTAGTAGCTCGTGTTTATAGTAAACATTTAATCAAGAAAATGAACGGTCGAAACGTCCATTCTGGAAATTGGGTAAGCGATGTTCGGTCATGAATGATAATAGAACGGGAGGGAATTACATTGTTTACAAAAAGCGTAAAGTTACGGATCTGATAGCCGGAGCATAATCTTTACGGAATTATACGACGGCTCGAAGCGTGAACGAAGCAGGAAGGAAAGGTCGAAAGTTCGACCGAAAAAAGCGGAAGGCCTAAATTTATCCCCGCAGTTTCCGATGTTTGGAAGCGTGCGTAAATAATATAATTCCGGCCTCCTTTTGTTTCATACTTTAATATTCGCGGTCTGATTGCGTGACCCGACATTAACGCAAACTTTGGAACCCTCGTGAACCTTAAGTTCTGAGAGCTTTTGATAAAGAAACAAAGAGTTATTTTAAAGGAGTTCGAAGCAATAATTTGAACATGGCAAAAGGTTATTTTGTAATGTGAAACCAATTAATTCATCCACAATGCAAAATCTATACAACATTTATTTATGTATAGGATGAAAATTAGAGGTCCCCGCTGACCGTCGCAGGCTCGAAGGGTCGTAAAAGATTTTTATTCTCCAAATTCTCGAATCTTTTATGAAAACTGTCCCCTTCGAGATTCTGTAATTTTGCTTTGAGTGATTCCGGTATGGATGGGCAGATGGCGCGATATGGCCCCTAGTTTTATGAGTCAGGAGACAAAAGTTGGCATGACCACAGTATAAGAAAACTTTTTAAGACAACATATTTATTTATCCAAAATATGATTAAACGGACGGACTCGTTGTAACTAATTCAATGTTTTAATGTTGCGACCATAATTCACTAAGCCCGTAATATCTCTAAATAGGAGATTATTGCATACACCGGCGAATACATTCCTTAATAAGTATTTAAGTACCGAATTAATGCATTACTTTAGACGATTTCTTTACTGTCGAAATTCATAACTGTATTCAGGTCGTAAAGCAAAAGAAAAATTCCAAAGGGCAACATAGTAATAATTGAGGTTCGGATTTTCTTTGAGAATTCGTTACCATAAAAAACGTTTTATTGGAATTTTCTTTAAATATGCTGCGATATTAAAATCCAAGTCATAATGTTTTGTTGAATTGTTCAGAAAGTACAGTTAATATATCGCCTAAGAATACTATTGTAGAATAACCTGCCTATTTCAATGTATTGTATTGAAGCCTGCAGGTGAAACCTGAACCCTCAACTAAGGACACACATTCAGCAAGTGCATTAACTCTATAAAAATGCGAAGATATTGTCTTCCAAAGAGCGCACTTAAATTCACAAACAGACTTTCTTTTACTGGCTACATCGACCCCCCACTTGTAGTTGATTTGACCCCCTACTACCGTGTGGGGGCTGCTTCGACCCCAGCTACCAGATGTTTGCCGCACTCGGATTACTCGTTTATAGTTACGCATCCACTGTTTGCGGTACTGTACGACTCTCATAAGAAATGTCGCGGTTTTAAAATTTTTTAGTCGAAAATTATTTTTTCAAAAAAGTAACAATTTTATAACTATGAAAGTCTCCTAATAATGTTAATGTAGCTTCAATATTATCTATTTATTTCATACTTTGGGATACAAAAAAGAACATATAGATATACAATTCAATTTTACCACTATACAAGTGTACCGTGCGGCCTTATCCCTATAAGCGATCTCTGTAAGGCAACCCTATTAGAAAGAAACTCAATAATTAAAACTAGACAATGTGCAAGAAATTAAACTTACTAATTCCTTAAAAAACAAACTTAAAAAAATAATAATAATAAATAGTTTTTTTTTATATTATTACATGTTAAACATTTAACTTCTTAGCAACAATAACTTCCAAATTCACATTGCTACAAGCATTAGAAAAAAAGATCAATAAGAATTGAAGGTATTGCTTCCTAAAACTACTGTCGAAGGGTGCAATAGACGGCTCAAATTGACCATAAAAATGTCCCCATCCCTTCATTACCTACCCTATGGATTTGCTCCCCTGTCGCTTTTTCTAAGGTCAAGCCGATTGGTAGTTATTTACAACTGATAACAGAAAATAGTACAAGTGGCTTTAGACTATGTTTTTATTATAAGATTTTGTTCAATACTTACCTGAGCATTGCTCTAACTCCTTTTGATGAGAGTCACAAGTAAAAATAAATAGAGAACACTACACAACTGTTTAGAGAGGTTAGTATCTGTTTTAAACAACTTACATCTTGACGGGCATTACATATCAAAATTCTGTCCGGCTCACGAATCACCGTGCAATGAAATTTGGTAAATTTCAATCGCATTTCGGGTTCAATTTCAAGATCTCTTTTAAATTATTAAATTAATATATATTAAAAATCAGTTACATAGAAGAATTTAATATTGAAAGATTTTTCTTTAGTTACATCGCGTGTAACCTCTTTAAAATATCTCCCATTTTTCTTCTGTAACACGCGATACTCCAAATCGCTTGGGATTTCCCATCTGTCAATGGTCCCTTGGCTCTCCGACCCTTTTGGACTCGGCTCTTGCAACCGCATCTAGGGAATTTAAATTATTTATCTTGTTAGAAAATTCTAGGTACATTATAAAATTAGGTTCATTTATTGTACCTTACCTTGTACCTACTTGTGAGCTAATACTTGTCTATGGCTTCGATAGATTTTTAAGATTAGGATTGCTTGAATTACCCTTACCCCAATCCAAAAACATATCTCAAATTAGTAAACCAAGAAATATCTTGATGAATAAGAACACAATACTTTAAATGTACTTACTGATGTGACTTAGTTGTCACATCAAGGGCGTAGCACATATGCGATGAAGGTCGCAGCTCCTTCTTTAGCGAAGTGTAATTTTACAATCTTCACGTGCTAAAGTTTTACTAAATTTTTCGCTTTAGTGGTTTTTAGGTAGAAAAGATTTTCTAATAACAACGCGTTATATACACATGCCAATCTTGCGTCGTTCATCATCGTACAAGGTGAGCAAACACAATAAAAGTACAACAGTAACATTCCTCGGCTCCGTAGGGGAGGATGAGGGGAGTGCATTCTTATTGAACCCCAAGCCCTCTGGCGTTCCTTTGTACCTGCATATTGCGTAATTGTACCACTGCGCACGTTATAATATGTTGGAGAATAATCGCATGAATCCTATATGGTTTGTAATTTATGGACATAGCTACATTCCGTGCGTAGATTTACTTTAGAATGCGTTCCGTTCGAAAGGTCAAAGTCAAAAGTCAAAGTCAAAAATCATTTATTCATGTAGGTAACTATGTACACACGTCACAAAAAAATTATAGAATCTAACTTTACATTTACTACCAGTTCTCAAATCAAACAACGAGAAGAACTGCAATAAACTCGCGTACTCTTTTATGCCAATTTCATTTTACATTCTTGATTTACTTTTAGTACACAACAATTTTTTCTTACAAGAAAAATATGTGGTGTAATATGGTTCCTCACCAAGCATTTTTATCATTTAAATATTGATTAACATTCGAAGTAATTCTATGTCAGAAATAAAAGCGTTAAAGTTTAAAAGGTTTAAAACGCTATAATATATTAGTAAACAAATTTCGCAGTCCTGAAGTCTCCTAGTTTTGCAGCTACCGTGTTTACTAAGATATTTCGCGTTTTAAACTGCTAAGTGTTTTATAGACATGACGTGTAAACTACATACAGAAGTATATTTTATATTATTTCTTCTGCCTCGGGAACAGCTATAATCTCCTCATGTACATACTCTTATACTTATAATTCCCAATAACAAATAACAAAGTAATAATAATCATTTCTCCCGTATTGGGGAATGCAAACTTATCCCCTCTTATTTGGAGTTAAGATTTGAGTTAAGCGTTTCAAACAGCTGCCAGATAATGGCTTGTTAATATTGATTGATTTCTATGCTCTCCTCTATATAATCTATGTATTTTACTGCTCCACACAACACAATAACAATGGGTGTAATGCTTTATAATCGTGTCGTACGAGTTTGCCAACTATGTTTATTAAATACTGTCTATAGTTTACGCGAGTAGTACACATTTAAATAAAACACTTTAACA